CTAATCACTTTTTGTCCGGTACAGATGCTCTTAATTGGCTCATTTCTCATACAAATAGGCACGTGTTGGAGCGACCATCTGGAGATTTAAACCACCAGATGACAATCTGTGCCAATCTGAGCCCATCCAGTGCCCACCAGCGACCACCTCATAGAGAGCCAGCTTTTGCAATCATGTGATGATTGACCACGGGTATACCTATAGCCGAAAAGTGAACTGGACGAGTAGTTCGACGGCACAGTACAGTAGTGTCACCAGTCTGTGGGGCGTGACGGACGCGATTTCTCGAGGCGTCAAGAGCTTCAGCTGCGCTGTACGCTGAAATATTCCGCTGTATTTCTCCAGCTGCTGCTGCCATTGCTTCTCCTGCTGCTGTTGCACATTCACTGCCACTATATCACTACCACTGTGTCACTGCTACTACTGCCACTGCTACTCCTATCACTGCTGCAGCAGCGCTATTCCGACAAGAGCTTCAGCCGCAGATACCAAAGCAGTTATTGCACTACTTACAGTACAGTAGTGCCGCCAGCCACGAAATGCCAATCGAGTTGACGCTTGTGACTTTGGCTGCGCTGTATCTTTCATGTTGACACTCAGACGACAAGCACGCATTCAGCGCCATCGAAAGAAACTTCGTCAGGACACAACCGTTCACGTGAATGGAATGTATTACATGCACATCTTAACGTACCTATACCAAAGGCACCGCAGCTTCTGGTTGCCCACAAGGCCTGGTGAGGTCGCGCCAGAAAATACCTCGGAGGCCAGAGGCACGTAAATGCCACAGTTATAGCTGTCTGTCTGGATGCAGAAGTCCGCGTCATAGAATCCAACGTGATAGCGTCCGGCTCGGTCTGGGAGGAGCGCTATCAGTTGTTCCGCTTTCGCTCGTACTCCTACCTTGTACGTAGACTGCATAGGGTCGTAGCACTTCACTTCTCCCGCCGCAAGGTTAATCAGAATGGCGCACCAATGACTGGGGTTGCAGTCGATTGGGATGAGTACACGCTCGGCAGAGGCGCCGAAAAACGAGGCTTTTAGCGTGTTCACCTGCATGTGTCCTGTATTCATCGACACCGTGATCGCATGCGGGCTCACGACGATGACGTCTGGACTTGGGCCGAGCAGCTTGTTGAGCACGGTGCTCATTGTCACATCGCTTAGTCGACCCTTTGCTGCCAAATCGAGGACCTTTATATACAGTGCCCAGCAACACACTTAGTTACCATCACAGCGCAAATTAAAGATTTCGATGTCTCACCTCGCTCGAAAGCAGCCGCAGATCCCAAATCTTCATATGCATGACTGCATCGCTGTCGATCACAAAGTCGGGACCGCGTTGGTGTGTAAAGTCAATTGTGCCGAGCCACTTGACCGCAATTTCGACCACGAGAATCGCTGCCCTAGCGCGATGGTAGCTCTTCATGACAGGAGGGGTTGCGGTGTCAAGCACGCCAATGTCTGGTACCTCCACAGCAATATCTCGTTCTGGTAGGCCGCTCCGCGTCCTTTGGAGGACTGACACTTTCGAATCGCACTTCCACAACATGTCCTTCAGTAGCACTCGCACAAGCTCGTCCAAGTGCATCGGTTACTTGCTTGGAGGCATTTTGATGGTCTCACGAGCGACAGGCGCCTTGGTCTTCTTGCTTACCACGAAGAACTTGAACTTCATCAGCACAGAGCCAGCGGACTCAAACGACATAGCGTCGTTCAGCATGATTGCAACTATCTATGGACTTAAGTCCTGATTGTACATCAGTGAGTCCTCCCGAGCCATTGCGATCTCGATGTTGCGCTTCGCATGGGCGACCTTGGGCTTCTCCTTCGACCGGCCTCGAGGTTGGGGTGATGACACGATATCAATGTCATCGTCTTCCTTCTCGACGGAGAGCCCGCCCCAACTGACATGGTGGCATTCCCACCTCAGATGATCGCGTGACCATCTGAGATGGTATTGTACCAACCGGAGATGGCGAACTGCTCACTCGGGTTCCAACATCAGAGAAAGCTGCTTGTAACACCGCCATCTCAGTGAAATCCTTGTATATCATGACGCACTGCAGCTGGGGCCAACCAGGATTGTTAGTCTTGAACGCTTTGATCGCAGTCATCAGCGTCACGGCGCGCTCGCTCTGTAGAAAGGCATGCTGAACGAACTGTCCTTTGCCATACGCGTCGTGAGTTATGAACGAGAAGATTTTATACCGAGACGTGTTGGTCCCGTGGGTTGCGTCAATGAGCATCACTTCTGGCAAGTGCTCGAACATGGCGCGCATGTGACATGTCTGGAGCGTAATACAGGTTGCGTTTCTGCGACAACATCAATCGGTAGAACGTACCTACTTTACTGACATACGGCAATCTAGTCAACATACCTTGTCGCCCAGCTTCTTCACAAACACACGGCTGACGTTACCTGGCTCGGCACTAAAGTCAACCATGACCTTCTCCAAGTGCTGCGCGGTGGTAGAGAAGCCGTTCGACACCTTTTTCAGTCCACGGACGATGTTGTGTACGCCTCGTATCGTCATCTCGCGATCTGAATGCTCGTGGATGCATATGAGGATGCTCTTCTTCTTGGCACCCACTTTATGGAGCTCCTTGATTGTCGCGACCACACTCGAAGGTAGAACAGTGCGGACCGAGGCGTACTGACGGTAGTTGTCATCGGCGAGAGCGTGGTTGTGCGTCAGCTTAGAACTTGTGATACAAATCGCGAATATTGGATCGCTGCTACTCGCGTTAACGACGCGAGCGCATGTATTTATCTGGGCCAATACATACACATGCTAGGTAAGTCGGAAGCCCATACGTGACCATCTCGATGATCTGGTGACCACATGAACCTAATCAGATAGGCTCAGATGAATCTGTAAATTCCACACAATCTCAAGTGGTTCGAAGAGAGGCGTACCTGTGCACGACACTTCAACGCGCGCGACTCTTGGCTAGGACGTTTTCCCTTGCTGCGTGACTTAAATGTTCCAGTATGCGTGCAGATCAGTGTCTTGTTGTACTGCTTCCATTCTACAGGAATCAGCGCCGCGGTCGACTTCGTCTGCGTGGTCTTTCGGTTGCGGTCCTCAACTTTGTTGATGGTACGGATGCATAAGTTCTGGGGTGCACAGCACCAAGAGTAAGCTCACCACTGATCATATCTCGAGCTGCATTGAAAGTACCTGGAAGGAGCGCGACGAATACTCCTCCATATACTCATGGAAGGCCTCCCACGAGTCAAACTGAGTTTGTTCGAGAGGAGAACCCACTGTACTATCCGATGGCGGAGTATGGCTGTCCGACTGTGCGCCAGCAGTCTTTGAGATTGTTCGTGATCCCGCGGTCTCAAAATAATTCGACGTGTCTGACTTGCTTCCACGCGAAGCCTGGGAGGAAACGCACGAGCTCTCGCTGCCGTTGTCAGAGTCCTCGCTCCCACTACCTTCACTTACTTCAGCAGGCTGCCGCCGCTTTCGGGTTCCGCGGCCGCGAAGCTTCATGATCGCCCCGAGCGAAACCACTTCTCTGCTTACCGCGTACCAGATTGAGAAATGAGTGGTATGTACGATATGTTGCATACGCGGTATACAGTTTACCTTGCACGGTTGAGTACGTGCGCAAAGTCAGGTGAAGATGGCGGGGCTAGGTCTGTGCAAAAGGTGGGCTAGCCAAAAAGCGAGCTCTAGATGGTACTCTCTAACAAATATTAAGTGTAAGTGACCCTTATTGTACCTCCAACACAACATAAACACTGCAAAAATGAAGTAGGGTATACACCTCTTATGCTCTGAGGTACTGTACAACATTTGTGGGTTAAGCACTTCTTCTGTGCAAGGACTCCGTCACATTGACGAACGATATCTTCACTCTCAATTTTATATCGCACAATTTTGATTTCGGCGCCCAACATGTCCACACATTCACTTTTTGGTTTTGTATGAGAGGGGTGAACGGTCATTTTCGTGCAATAATAATAATTTGGTGTTATAAGAATACAATTTTGATTGCATTATTATCGGCTTAATTGAAGAAAGAAGAAAACAAGTTTGCTCAGCGATACTTGGTAGCATTTCTATATATCACTTTCGAAAGAGAAATTGTAGTGCTACCAGCGAGACGCTCAGAAGTCGCCAGCTACTAATTATATCGATTAAGGCAAGTTGCCTTAGGCAACCCCTGTTCTAGTTAATGTGCACATGGATTCCCTCAGGCGAAAGCCTCCAGCAGCTCCAGGTAATTTACTGAGGATGGCTCTTCAGTAAAAATAAAATGTAAAGCGATGAAGTTCACCGGTAGTTTAAACAGGGTGGTTCAGAGAATCACTCCTGAAAATATATGAAAAGCGATGGTTTATAAACTGAGGATGAGCCTTGCCCATCAGTTTTGGCGTAGAAGCTCCGTCGAAGCACGTCACAATTGCGTGAGTCGTGTGAGCTTGTGACCGAGTGTCAGTCTGACGTGCTTTCGCAGAGTGAAGACAATCCGTTACTCGTCTTCTTGGAAGCCGTTGTGGGGCAATACTCCGCTTTCGTCCTTGTCGGGGAAACGAGCGATCCCCGGAGCAGAGAAAGCTCCATAATTGTTGGCACCACGTCAGTCCTTTCCATATGTGCGAGTGCAAATCAACCCATGATAAAGTTGCGCTATCCTTCTCTGTGGTAAAGTTTGGAACCTTAAAAGTGCCGATGAATGATGGTCCCACCATCCAATGCATGATTAATACATGTAAATGCACCACCCGGAAGTTTACGCGGGACTGAAATTGAGGTCGTTTCATTGCCGTTCGCCTGTACCTATTTCAATCTGAAGTGTTTGACCATGCAATCGGTAAGACTCTATCAGCCAGCATAGCAAAGCGCCGCAACCGATCGGCAACCAACAACACAACAACCGGCTCATTTTGCAATTTGCTTAATCCATCGATTGGTTCCCAGTCCAGTTTATCCCCAGACACCAGCAAGGTCTCCTCAAAGCAGAGCAAGAGTTTAAGTATGGCCATGGGGTCAACTGCTACATTCGTGGCATCTGAGACCCCAAAGCATGTAGATGAGACCAATCGGCTGGATGTCGCATTCAACCTCGTCGAGAATCCGGAGGAGACTGTGTCCAAGGAAAAACCTGCTGATGGGCAGCTGGTGTCGATGGGCGAGCTCTTCTCCTACGCGGACGGCATCGACAAGCTCCTCATGTTTCTCGGCACCGTTGGTGCTTTGACTGCCGGAGTTTCGCAGCCTATACAGATCGTGCTGTTCGGGGACGTACTGAACACGTTCAACCCGGCGGATCCAGGGGCGAACATTGAAAGTGGCGTCGAAAGTGTCGCTCTCAACTTTGTATACGTCGGCATCGCTGTCTTCATTGCCGGCAGTTTCCAAGTGGCGTGCTGGACTATTACAGCTTCGCGTCAAGCCAAACGCATTCGAAGCGAGTATGTGAGTGCTATTATGACCAAGGAGATCGGCTGGTTTGATGTCAATGAGCCCATGCAGTTGGGCTCACGTGTTGCCGAAGCCACCGTGACTATACAGGAAGGAATGGGGCGCAAGGTCGGCGACGGACTCAATTTCTTCTCGATGGCTGTGTCGGGAATAGTGATCGGACTTGTCAAAGGTTGGCAACTAGCTCTGATCTTGCTGGCTTTCACGCCGTTCATTGCCTTCACGGCCTTCTTGGCCATGAAGGTGTTGTCTACGGCCACGCAGGCAGGTCTCGAGTCGTATGGCAAGGCTGGTGCAGTGGCACAAGAAGCTCTGAGTAATGTACGCACGGTGCACATGTTCAACTCGATCAACCACTTTATCGCCAAGTATGACAACGCTCTGGGTCTATCGACTAAAGCGGGTATCAAGAAAGGCTTTGCGGTTGGATGGGGGACGGGACTGATGTTCGGCACTGTGTTCTTCACTTACGCTGGGGGCATGTACTTCGGGGCACTTATGGTGGCTAATGACAATCTGGATGGCAACCAGTGCACTGGCTACGGTTGTTACGATGGCGGCCGAGTGCTTACGGTCTTCTTCTCTGTTATCATGGGCGCTATGGCGCTGGGTCAGGCTGCTCCAAGCGCCGAGGCCATCACTTCAGCGCGTGCTGCAGCGTTTCCTGTCTTCCAAACCATCAAGCGTCCGTCCCTGATCGATCCGTTGAGTGACGAGGGCAAGACCCTGGATAAAGTCATGGGTCGAATTCAGATCGAGAACGTGTCGTTCGCCTACCCTTCGCGTCCAGAAGTGCAAGTGTGCAGCAACTATTCGCTGACGATTGAGCCTGGTGAGACGGTGGCACTAGTTGGTCCCAGCGGCAGTGGCAAGAGTACAATGGTGTCGCTTCTAGAACGCTTCTACGACCCGCTTAGTGGATCTGTCAGCATCGACGGTGTGGACGTTCGTACGTTGAACGTGAAGTGGCTACGCTCGCAGGTCGGACTGGTGGGTCAAGAACCTTCGCTCTTTGCCACGTCGATCATGGAGAACATCCGCTACGGCTGTCCCTCTGCATCGGATGAACAGGTCATTGAAGCTGCCAAGATGGCCAACGCCTACAGCTTTATCAAGGAGTTCCCTCAGCGTTTCCAGACTGAAGTAGGTGAGCGTGGCGCTCAGCTTTCCGGTGGACAAAAGCAGCGAATTGCCATCGCTCGAGCTATTATCAAGAACCCTCCTATTCTACTACTGGATGAAGCTACCAGCGCTTTGGACACGGAGAGCGAGCGAGTTGTGCAGGCCTCTCTGGATCAGCTGCTAGCCAACTCTCACCGCACGACGATCATTGTTGCCCATCGACTGTCCACTATTCGCAATGCCAGTCGTATTGCAGTGCACAGCGGAGGTGCGATCGTGGAGATCGGCTCGCATGACGAGTTGATGAAGCTTGAGAATGGTCACTACCGTCTCCTTGTTGAGGCTCAGAACCGCGTGGCGTCGGAGGAGAAAGAAGAAGCCGCAACTGACGTGATGACTGTGGAGGAAATCGAGTCTCCCGACGACCCCACTGTACGCTCTGGTCGATCTTCGCGGCGATCGATTAGTCGACACAGTGCGCATGAGAAGGAAGCTGCTCTTGTGAAGATGGACAACGAGCTGGGCGATGTCGATCTTCCTTCGATCTCAATGGCCCGAGTCTGGAAGATGTCTCTACCGGAGTGGAAGTACATGTTTGTAGGCTCTCTTGGCGCCATTGTGAATGCCGCAGTGTTTCCAGTGTGGGGTGTGTTACTGGTGAAGGTTACAGTGTTGTTCTTCCACCTCGACTACACTAAGAGCGAGATGATGGATAACGCTCGCTGGTGGGCTATAGGCTTCATCGGTCTTGGGATTCTGTTCGCTGTATCCATCACACTGCAGCACTACGGCTTCGCTGTGGTCTCTCAGAACCTCGTCACTCGTGTGCGGTTGGCCACGTTCAGTGCGATGTTGCACCAGGAAATTGGGTGGTTTGACTTGGATGAGAACTCGTCGGGAGCTTTGGTATCTCGGTTGGCTACAGACTCGGCCGTGCTACAGGCGATGACGTCGGAAACACTCAACAGAGGACTGGTAAATCTCACGACACTCACGATCGCTTTCGCTATTGCCTTCTTCTACAGCTGGCAGATGACTCTCGTCCTACTCGCGGCCTTCCCAGTGCTAGCTGCGTCCTCGTACATCCAGGCTCAGCAAATGGCCGGCACGTCTGGTAACAAGCAGAACAACGACGCTGATACTGCCGCTGGGTCTCTGCTGTCTGAGGCCATTGGCTCGATTCGCACAGTCGCTTCGTTTAGTATGGAAGTGGCTCTGAACACTCTGTATGTGGGCTACCTGAACGTCTCGAAGCAAGCGGACGTCAAGATCGGCATCGTTGGGGGGTTGGCATTTGGTGTATCACAAGGCGCGATGTTCTTGGTCCTCGCAGTACTCTTCTACGTCAGTGGACGCTGGATCTCGCGTGGTATCATCACCTTTGAGGAGTTTTTCATGGTGCTGATGGTCATCATGCTCAGTACGTTCGCGATAGGAATGGCTGCACAGGGAGCTACAGATGGAGCCAAGGCTAAACTCTCAGCTCAGCGTGTGTTCAAGGTTATCGACCGCAAGCCTTTGATTGACGCCACGTCGGGCACGGGTCGCACGTTGGACCACGTGGACGGCGACATTGAGTTCCGCCATTTGGTGTTCACGTACCCTGCTCGTCCTGACGCCAAGATCTACAAGAATTACAACTTGAAGATTGCGCGTGGCCAGACTGTGGCGCTTGTTGGTGCTAGTGGAAGTGGTAAGAGTACGGCGATCTCATTGATGGAACGATTCTACGACCCTGCAGCCGGTATGGTGACGCTAGACGGGAACAACTTGAAGGAACTGAATCTACAGTGGCTGCGCGAGAACGTTTCTCTCGTGAGTCAGGAGCCGGTGCTGTTTGCGGGCACGATAGCCGAGAACATCGAGCTTGGCAAGCCCGGCTCGACTCGCGAGGAGATTATTGAGGCAGCGAAGAAGGCGAATGCGTTTGACTTTATTAGCAACTTCCCGAACGGCTTCGACACGGATGTCGGCGACCGTGGCGCTCAAGTTTCTGGCGGTCAGAAGCAGCGTATTGCCATCGCCAGAGCTATTCTGCGTGACCCAGCGGTGCTGCTACTGGACGAGGCGACGAGCGCTTTGGACAACGAGAGCGAGCGGGTGGTGCAGGCATCGCTGGATCGGCTACTCACACTCAAGCAACGTACCACGATTATCGTGGCCCACCGTCTTTCAACTATTCGCAACGCGAGCCTCATCGCCGTGACGCATGGCGGCGCCATTGTGGAGCAGGGCACACACGACCAACTAATGCAGCTGCCTAATGGCATCTACAAGGGACTTGTAGCGCGCCAGATGAACGCGCACTAGCTGAAAGGATAAATATCTAATACACGAAATAAACACAATAGTACTACTAAATTTTTGATATTACCTTGATGTTGAAGTGTTGCTTTACATTCATTAAAGCAGGTTCAAATATGCACTTCCAGAGTTTACACCTTTTGTCGCGTGAATGTTGCATTAGTTCGAACGACATCTGAGCCCGCACTCGTCAAGAGCCAAAGGCGCGCTAGGAAAGGCAACGGCGACTTGCGCCTTCCAGAGCGTCTATAAGCATGGAGAGACTTGCTCGACAGGTTCATACACGTCTGCTCTATTTGCCGAGCTCATGGTCCTAGTATAATGCCTCCAATATCCCTAAATACAACCATTTTTTGCGTCAGGTTCAAGAGACCCAGAAGCAGCTGAGCTTTCCGGAGACGGACTGGAAATACCATTCTTCGGCAATTGATGAGCTTGCGACGGCTGTGGAGGCGCTGGGTCCCTCTACAAGTCGCAAAGATGCTGCCAGACTGCTTCTGAGTCTCTCGGTGCGGCCTCAACGGCTTGATTACCGTTATCTTTGATCCTCTTCGACTAAGTTCTTGCAATGACTCCGTTCTTAATGTTTTATAGGGCAAAATCAGCGCGCTATTAGTCTCACACCGGTCGAAGCTGGTAAAGGACACATGTGAAGGTCTGCTGAGAATCGTCCAGGAAATAGGTCGAGACTTCCAGGACATGGCCAATGCTTTACTGCCCCAGATCGTTTGCACCGCGAAGAACTCATCGGCAGCCATCCGACAACCAGGATCCAAGCTGCTGTGCAAGATGTCGGAGGTCGTGCGGTACGACCTGTCGCTCTTGAAGAAGATATACATGCCTTTGATGCATGGTGAGGAAGATACTGCACTGCGATGCTACATAGAATTTTTATCTGACGGATTTATGACGTTTTGACTGTACAGCTAAGGCTAGTGTGCTCGTGCTGGAGCAATTGGGGATCATGTTTGTCTACTGGACTGATAGCGAAGTGTTGCCATTCGAGTCGGACGTGCTGGCCATAATTCAACGAGGACTGGAAGATCAAAACGAAAAAGTCCGCAAGACGGCGCGTGAGGTTCTTGCGAGATTCTCGTCGCGATGGTAAGGCTGTAGTTAGTGTCTTTACTGGTGGAGAGCTATTTGACTGACTATGCATGATGGGTTTATTCAGGAGTGAGCGTGTGGAGGACCTTGTGGAAATACCGTCCAGCCAAGCTAAAGCACTGATTGTCAGTGAGCATCGTGACTCGCCACTAGCTGAAGCGATCTTGAAGGAATACCCAGAATTGGACAAGTCCGACTCGTTATTGCGCAGCAGATCATCTTTTACGCAGTCGCGTGCCAGTTCCCGCAAGTCTCCTCGACATAAGCGCGAACAAGATGTCGAAATTCGTGTATCAAAGACTCTTCCGCCAAAGGAACGCGAGCTGCAAGACGGAGCAACGAATAGTGGAGTGGCGACGAGTACTAATACCAGAAGATCGGCTAAATCGCCGGAGAGTACTTCACGTGACCAGAGTGCTGTGTCGCGGCGACTATTCGACAAGCTCGATGTTTCAGAAGGACGTGACGATGATCAACAGGAGGATACACTACAGGCATTTGATGGCTCGCAAATGCACAAGTTTTACTCAACGCTGGCGGAGGCGGAGACCGTGCTGCCACCTGCATCTGAGATTGAGAACATCTTGAGTCCTACGCCTGCTATTCAAAGTCGAACGCGATCGTCAAGCACATCAAGTGTCGAAAGAGCATCACTGCGTCACCCTGGTGCTCAAAAGCTGCAGGAAACAAAGATCCCGAGTCCGTTGTCTCGCAGCCCGAGTTTTCTCAGAAAGAATAGCCTCGAGTCATCTTCCAGTGCTACTAGCTCTCCAAAGTTACGCCCGTCTTTGCTCGCTCGTCCAGGTAGCTTTACGCTCCAAGCGCGTGGAAGTAGCGGGCCCTCCACCCCTGTGGGCAGTGCGAAGTTTGAAGAGGAAAAGGCTGACACGATACCATTGAGCGCAAGTGACGAGTATTTCAGCAAACCAATTCCCAGTTCTATTGCATCTCTGATACCTCCACCGCCGTCCACAGACAACGTTACTCTCCGATCTAGACGACGAATGTTTGTCCACCAAGATGAAGAGCTGTACGCGCCACTGCAAACGTACACTCCGGAGATGTCGTCCCTTGATTTGGCAGCGTCAGAAGAATATATTCAACCACAAGAAGAGGACAAACTGGAATCAGTCGTGAACACAAGTCCAGTGGGCTACGGAGTAGCGTCATCTCTAGATGAAGAGCTCTACACCGATGAAGCCGATGTCATTGGTCATCTGACAGAAGGAAGTGATCACGTCGAGTCCGACACTGAGTGGAAGCATCGCCGTCTGGATTACAGCGACCGTTCTGGCTCTGAGGAAGAGGGGAGCCATCTTAAGGCGAGTTTTGTTGCGAAGAGTGATGCATTCCCGGATGAATGGCATCTTGATGACGGTGCCAGACACAAGTTTGGCTTTAAAGATGAAATTGGCGATCATTTGAGCGATGAAGAGCAGGATCAAGCTGAAGATTTTGGTGGAGTGGAAGTTGAACACAGTCCGGTAATGGACATGTCGGAAAGATCGCAATGGGCATCGCTTCAGAATGTTGAATCGTCACGACCGCAGTACTTCACGGTGCAAAGCGATTGTAGAGAGGAAGAAGATGCGGAACATGAAGAGTTGATTACGGAAATCATTCCCAGTGACGCGCTAGCTGGCCTGCTCAATGTTCGCGAGGAAATGGGCCGTCTTCGAGAAAAGACGCGAAGCGAAGAAACTGTTCATAACTTGCCATTCACAGCACAACACGCAACTGCCAAAAAATCGCAGGACAGCTCGCCAGCAACGGAAAAGCGTAGCAAGGAGGAGCTGTCATACTTTGAGCGTTTAACGCGAGCAGATCAGTTTGCGCGAAGCCCGCAAATAGTACCGCCTGATGCCCCGCACGATGAAACACGTGAGCGTATTGAACAGAACGTGCAACTGCAGACATTTGAGTCGGCTTTGGGTCGAGCATCCTCTGATGACGAGCATGAACAGACTGACGATGACGTGTTTTTGGCTCTCCCACCTCGTCCGACGACCGTGAAGAAGGATGAACCGAACGCGGAACCTTTCGACTTCGCAAAGGAGCCCCAAACTGCAGAAAGCTGTAGCCCACGCTCGGAATCAAACGCAAACACTAGAATTCAAGCGATTGTTCAGCGCCAAGAATCGTACATTGCTCATGATGATCACGCCGGCCGTTTTGATGCCGCAGAAAAGCTGTTTGCTGCTGAGGAGGTTCGTGATTACTACGGCAGACCGCAATCGCCCCATGAGCATTGTATGGCACCGAAGCAGGAGCGTTATGTGCAGTCTCAACCGTCCTACCCAGCGCCGACACGGATGGGCGCGATGCCCGCTCCCGCGAATGAGCGGAACGTAGGGACTGAAGACGTCGGTGATGCTCCGAAGGCTACACCTGCTGAATGTGTGACCAAGACTGATGATCCAGTTGAGAAAGAAGCTCCAAAGCGAGCTCTGGAACGGATGGACGAAGAAACTGCACCGCAGCCTGAGGAATATATGGTGCCAGCAACGACCGAAGACAAGCATGGTATCAGCGCGGCGCCTGTCAAGACGCCACCAAAGGCTACACCTGAAAGAAATCCGCCGACAGTTAAATTGAGCTGGATGTACTCCTTCGGTATCTCGCTTATCATGCTGCTTTCGGCGATTTTCTGCATTTCTGGCATCCTGTACGCCGCAAAGAAAGTGAGCGAGTCCCACGAGTATCATTTGGATCTGAGAGAGCGTATTGGGAGGTTCGAGTCGAGTATCGCCGAGTCTCACAAGAAAGTGCTTCAGCTGGAGAAGGACTACGCTGTTTGGAGCGAATACGTCCGCAAACTGACTGAAGAAGACGAAGCGAATGCTTTGACGCAGCTGCAAGCACTGCACGTTGAAGTGCAGAAATGGCAGCAAGACATGCACGAAGACCTCGTGCAATTTCGACAGGCGCTGTCGGTGGACTCCATCGAACAAGCGTTTGCGAACGTGCGTGTGAACGACACGAAGCAAATCGAAGAGTAAGAATTACGACGAAAGTGCCGCTGGAAGAATTTGCCGTTGTCCAGGACAGCGACCGTTGTTGCGTCCCTCTATTTAACAATACAGCCCAGAAGCAGAGCACTCTAGCGCCAGAGTCTTCTACTGCTGGTTCTGGAAATCAAAGCTACTGTCCTCGTTTTGCGCGTTCTTGTCCACAGCAACATCTAGTCCGCGGTTGGCCTCCTTCAGCTTGTCGAGAGCGTCGTGTCCTGCTTTGCCCAGCGTGTTTCCTCCCATCTCGAGCGTCTTCAAAGACGGATGCGAGTGCAGCGCGTCCAACATCGTGACACTTAGTGCCTCGTGCAACTGGTTGGCACCGATGCCAAACGTTTCGATGACTGCATTGGCCAGTAGTGCAGGTAATAACTCACTCAATCCCTCGCCCAGTTTGTTGTTTAACAGGTGAAGTTGTGTCATCGATTGAGCCTTCAGCAGTGGTGTCATGCCGACACTGGTAAGTCCGTTGTTGCCCATATCCAGGTAGGTCAGCGTCGTATTGTTTGTCGTCAGTACATCTGCAAGAAGCGCAGCACCTTCGTCCTGGCACTTGTTGTTGTTGATACGCAAGATCTTGAGCGTCTTGTTCTCACAGAGTCCTTCAGCCAACGAAGCACACGAAGTCTGCGTCAACTCGTTGTCCGACAGATCGATCTCCACCAACGTCGTGTTCTGCTTAAGCGCAGCACTAAGTGCAGCGACATGTTGGTCGCTTAACTTGCACTCCTTGAGCTGCAACTTTGTCACGGACTTATTCTTTGCCAACGCATCAAAGAAGGTCGACGTTGCACTCTCCAGCGTGTTAAACGACAGCTGAATCGTTGACAACGAGCAGGTTTCCTTCTCTACGAGCGTAGCCAAGTGGCCGAGTCCAGACCCTGAAATTCCCACCTCGGTCACATTTAACTCCTTGACTCCTGACTGTGCGTTCTCACTCAACCCCTTAGCCAGTTTCTCGACTCCTTCGTCCCCGATCTGATTATGGGACAGCGATACAGTCGTCAACGACTTGTTGGTCTTCAGCAGCTCTGCGACAGCTGCCGCTCCATTCGCACCAAGAGACTTAAACTCCAAGTCCCAGTTCTGGAGTCCCGACTGGGTGTTGCGAGCCAAACCGGCGCAGAGAACTTGCACTGCTTCATCTCCAAGCTTCTCTGAGCCCAAACTCAAGTGCTTGAGCGTCGAGTTCGTTGCCAAACAGTCGGCAAAGGCCTGTAGTCCAAGCGGCCCCAGTTGGTGACCGGACAAGTAAAGCTCTTCGAGTAAAGTGTTGCTGCTGATGGACGAGGCCAATTTGACGAAATCTGAGTCGCCGATGGAGCGCGTGCTCATGACATAGAGGCTCCTCGCTGTCTTGGGGTTCGTGAGCTTCTGCAGCAGGTCGTCCACGCCAGCCTTCTTACCCCACGCCATGATTGAAACAGTTGAACGTCACCAGTCAATTATTGAACGGTTGAAGAGCAGGTTTGAGATTTGACGGCTGGATGCCATAAGAGCATATGCGACGTGTGAAAATGGCAGTCATCAACAAGTTGAAGTGATTATTTTTATGAATGGGCTCTGAAACTTGAACCTTGCAGCTGCCGAAAAGATCGGGG